GCTGACTCTACACACACACACACACACCACACACACACACGCAGGGTTATCAGGACTGCACGGTTTGATAAGGGTCTATCTGATCGAAGTATTTCATTTTACATTCTGCAATCTCATTCTATTTTACTTGTATATATAGTCTTTATTCCTGCATTTAACTTGCACTGTTTTATTTCTTGATCTTTTTCACATCTTCTGTATGCAAATGGAGGACCTGAGACTTCAGATTGTTATTGCCGAAACTACATTTGACAATAATACGTTTGCATCTTGTACAGATTTGTTATATCTGAGAACGTCTGCTGCTCACAAGCCTCAATAATGAAAGACACCTACAACACAAGGTCATGTTCGCTGAATCCAGCTCATCCATCCGTCCGTGTGTGTGTGTGTAATTGTGTGTGAGTGTGTGTGAATGTCAAGGTGAATGCTTCCATTTACATTCCCGGGTCCCGCTATGAAAAACGTATGATACAGACGACTGGCTGCTCGAGCCTTTCTGCTGCCGAGCTGAAATTAATATCAAATCGGACACAGGTAAGGACAGATTGTTCAATAAACACGACGGAGGACTCGGATCCTGACATTTGACTAACAGCCGCTGCTCACAGGCAATCTGATGCAATTAGATGAGCAGCTGATATGGGAGATAATTGGGGGATTAAACGGGTTATAGGATGACACAGAGCGGCGTGATTTCAAAAGGTTAAACATGCATATGCTGGAATCCTCAGGGTATCAGCTGCTGCCGTGCATTTCCAGTTTAGAATAAACACAGGGCAAGTAAAAGATGCTGACACAGCAGAGCCCTTCAGGTGTGAAACTGTCAGCTGAAATGTAACCATCAACAGGAGGGGAAGCTTCCAGAAGTGCGTGTTACTGAGCAGGCCTGCAGAAAACCACACTGCAAAGAGAAACCACATGTAGATATCATATTTATTTTACTTTACACTTGGATTAAGGGGTGGTTTGGGTTTGTTATTTCAAGGTAGCTTCCACAAAGGTTTACCTGCTAAGTGTGGCCAGTGACATCCTGCTTTAAAAAAAATGTCTAAATAGCAAACTTAAAACCAGATTTATACCCGTTTACTTTGCTTATTTTAAAGCCCAGACAATTAATTGTTTACTGCTTTTAAGTAATATACTGATAATATTTAGTCTTTAAGTTTCAAGAAAACCAATAAAACTAATGACAAATGAAGCTATACCTTTTTAAATAAGTCCCAATACACTTGTCAAATTCACTACAAACATTTGGCAGCTAATAATAGATAACTGAATACAGCGTTGCGTTCTGATACACATGCAACACATTGTTGTATGTATTTAACTTTTAACAATTTATGGATGCAAGTATTTTGAAAATAACAATTGTTAGTTTTAGGGCTCTTTTGTATTAAAATAGTAAGATTGTATTGGATTTAAATGGCTGTTTGGTGCAGTGTGTACACGGAATGAAACAATGAAAAGACCAACATGTCAAATTCACTAAAAATAGCTTAATGCTGCTTTGCTTGTTGGTAAACACGTTGTTGTATTGCAATTAACTTAAAACGTTTTCTAAATGCACGTATGTTGTCAGGCTTAAAACAAGTTGAGGCATCTCCACTTGTTTATTTGACGGTTTTTTACTCTATTTGGATAAAAATCAGTTAGATTTAACTGAATTTAAAGGGTTTTTTGGTGCAGTGGGTGTACACCGGATGAAACCGTGGATGTCAGCAGTTTTTTTAATGTCTTTTACGGCATCCTCGAGGACTTTATTTACACGGTTTGAGGGGATTATGTGTTTAAATTATGGATTTTCTGGACGGAGTTCGGGAAGGAGATAATGAGGATGAATCCCCGGGCTTGGTGGCTCTCTGCGGGGAGTTAAACACAGCAAGACAGCCTCTCTGTGCGACATCCAGATGTGTTGCTGATGGTAGATTGTTGTGGTTGACTTGATGTTGGTTTCATGTTACTGTAAGTATGTGTGAACAACTGTGGCTGACAGACCATCGATTTCTTTCCTCTTTTTTTAATAAGGGGCAGGTAAAATAAGACTTTTTTGTCTTGTGTACATGTGTTGTTGTATAATAATTGCCATGAGTGGAATAAACTAATAAATACATATAGATATTAAGCTCGACAACACAGTTATTTTTTAAATGTGAGCAACCAGTGCCTTTAATGTAAGCTCTAAATGGGGAACCAGAGGTGGGATTCGAGCTCGGTTCAGTATGGTTTCGAGCCGAGTTCCGACCGTCTCTGGACATTGTTCGCCTGTTCAACCGACTGAGCTAAACTTCCATAACCCATAACAACACACTTATTCGAAGTGTAACACCAGAGCCAATATACTGACCTCTGCCAAATATGCTCCACAGCACAAAAGGCAGGAATGGATGCCCCCTCCGCCACCGCCGCCCCCTCCCTCTGCAAAATAACCTAATAAACCCTTAAATATCTATCTGTAGAGTTGAGAATACGGTCGGCTCTCACCTTTATACGCAGGCTGGACGCACCTATGCGGGGGAAATGTGTGAAAATGTCCACTGTTTATTCCGTAATCCGTACCGCTGGGTGTCCCGCTGCTTTGACTGACTGCGAGAGAATGTGCCAAACCGCCACCGTCAGGTTACCGCGTGGTTACACGAAGAGCTTCCGGTTTCCTGGTTTCAAATAAAAGAATGAGGTGATGTACTTCAGCATATACATGTTTGCACAGCTATTTATAATGTATACAGTGTCAAATAAAGGAAATTAAACACATACGCATATACAGTATTTAACAAACCAATCCAAGCACACCTTCTTTGCAAAATTAAAAACAATTAACTATATACCAAGACATCATAAAACAAAACATTTGCATGTTTCTGGTAGGCTACTATTGTAAGCCTTTAAATGCAATGTTCTTAATTTTTGAGAATGTCCGCTCCTCGGACCAATAACGTTGCATATTTTATTATCCTTTAAAAAATATATGCTGTTTGATGTACAGATGGTCAGATCACCAAAAAACACATCATTTTAAATCATAGTTACCAGTGGGTAACTATACTGTCTGTTAAAGGGACCTATCATGCAAAATGCACTTTTTGATGTCCTTTTAACCTACATAAATATGTGTCCCCGGTGCGCCGGGGAACTCACGCATTGTCAGAAAATAAAACCCTTTCTCTTTTCCTCCGTACCCAAATCTTTTAAAAACGGGAATACAATGAGCGGATACTCGCCGTGTCCCGCTGTCTCGGGCTGAGTCCAGGCTGAGAAAATCCGCGGAGCTGCAGCTGAGAAAAAATAAGGCTGGCTGAGTGTGTGTGTGTGTGTGTGTGTTGTGTGTGTGTGTGTGTGTGTGTGTGTGGTGTGGGTGTGTGTGTGTGTGTGTGTGTGTGTGTGTGCGTGTGCGTGTGTGAGGAGCTCCGCGGATTGGTCCATTTGGACCAATTGATCAATTGGGTCGTCGTTACGTCAATTGGTTCCTGGAAGAAAAACATAGAAAAAGAAGCGTTCTGGGGCAGCATAGACAGGTATTTTCTGTGTTAGAGTTTTAAGGGTGTGTACTTTGAAGGTTTGTGACTTTGCAGACCGTTTACATGCATAAAAACCTTCATAACACACAAGGGGACGGGTAATAACTGGAAAAGCATGACATGGGACCTTTAAATAATCGTAGGCCTATATATAATATATATATATTTTAGTCTTTAATTTGATACCTCTGTTGTTCTTTTAGTTTTTTTTAATTTGCTTATAAGTGACAGTGACACAATTGTAGTCGGTTGTACAACTTGCACAATCTGTTTTTCAAAAATAAAAATAGACAATGAAAAAATATATAGCCTACAAACAATGTCATTTTTTTGCTCACAATCACACGCTATGGGCAGGGGTGCACATAACGTTTTTTGCCCTGGTTCTCAAAGGAGCACCTGGAGATGTTGCTTGGTGCTCATCCTTAAAATAAAATAAACCGTAACTTTTGAGGGGGTCTTGACTTTATTTGCCAGACACTGAACACACATGCAGAGGTGAACACTGAACACACATGCAGAGGTGAACACAGAACACACATGCAGAGGTGAACACTGAACACACATGCAGAGGTGAACACAAGACAACATTAGCACGACCAGTAATCCTACAAAGCTGTCATCACTCCTCCTGACTGTTCTCCTCACTGTCTTCCTCTCTGTCAGACATGGTAGCTGATGATGTAGGCCTACTACTTCCTCTCTGGTTGAGTCTGCGATTAGCTGCTTGCATCCACAAGTCAACAGCTGGTTTTGGGTTGAAGTCTCTGTTGTCATCTTAGACAAGTGGATGTAATCAAATAAGTATGTGAACATAACCAATAACCTACCATAGCCAATAACAAATGGATGTAACTTATTTTATTTGTGTTGTTCATTCATATCTTATTTACCTTAACATTTATTTATGCATTTTTTTTATCGCTCCAGTTTTAAAGGATATTTTTTGGTTACTGTCCTATAGTATACATTGGAATGATTTCAAACCTGTTTATCCCAATAATTATAAAGGAGTGCCTTGGAAATATGTGTTTACATAAATTGTGACCAAACCGTTTGAACTTAGACTAAGTGAACTATCTAAACACTCAGAGTCCTTTACCTCACTGAGCTGTAGTTATCAGCCTCTCAGTTATGTGCATCCCTGGTTATGGGCCCCCACGGCCAAGGGGGGCCCCCAAGCTGAAAGTTCAGGTTCAGCCTTAATATATTTGGGGAGAATTAAAATTAGCCATCTTTATTTGTAGGGCAGCTGTGGCGCAGTGGATTAGAGCGTTGGTGTTCGGATCAGGGGAGCACAGGTTCAAACCCCACTGCAGTCAGCATGTCTTTGTGTCCCATGGGCAAGACACTTCGCCCCAAATTGCTCCTGCGGGGATTGACCACAGTATTGAGTATGTAAGTCGCTTTGGATAAAAGCATCTAACAAGTAACATGTAATGTAGACAGCCAAGCCCCCTCCTGTGTGTTCGGTGAAGCATT